TCGTTCTGCAGCAGCTCGAACTTCGGGCTCAGGCTCGGCAGCATGCCCCTGGTGCTCGTTTTGATTTGACTGTACTTATTGTAGATGTCCAGCGACTTCTTGCGATCCATCTCGAGCGTCTCCTCGATCAATCGCGGCGGGATGCTGCCCGCGCGCTTGTGACTCGGCACGAAGACGCTGCCTTCCGGCTTACGTGCCGCCGTGTTGTTCTTCTCCCCCTTGTGTTCCGGCGTTAGCGTGCCGTTACCCAGTTTACGCTGCTGCTCCTGGAACGCGTCCTCCTGAACGTCGTCCTTCAGCAGCACGCCGGTTATCACGGGCTTGTTGCTCTCCGTCTTGCTGGCGAAGTCGTTGCTCAGGGCCTTCTGCTCCATGATCTCGAGCTTGTTGGGCGTCGTGCCGTTCACCTGAAGATTCGGATTCGATCGCACGGCGTCTGGGAAGCCGTCGATGTCCAACGAGTCCCCCCCGCGTATCGCCGCGCTCACGACGTCTTGCAGAGATGACACGTTTTTTGATTTTCCGTAAAACTGCGGCTGAAAAGAAATGAACACTTTTGGTGTTTTATGAAAAATTTTTCTTTAACCAATGTATAATTATCGTTATCAAACAATTTCTTAAATATTTTAATTTAATCTACGTATATAGAATATTTATGAAGATCAATATCTAAAGAATTTTTTAACACTTAAATCTGCTGAAAGATTTAAATCTAAATATTTTAACGAATTAAATCTCCAAAGTGTAGATTAATATTTGTTTCGATCCAAGGTCGATTGAACAAGTTTTCTACTTTTCAGTTAACGTACGTAGAGTAGAGTTTTATTCGTTTTTTATTTTAACGTTGTTCAAATGAGACAACCCTCACGCAAACAATGACTCGAATGAACCTTAATTAATCTCTCTTTTACTCACGCTCTTATCTTCTTCTTCTTCCTCATTAGCAAAATTTCTGGAGTCGTCCAATAATATCTTTTCTATATCCGGCGACTTGTCGAATTCCACCCATTTCGATCGTCCCTCTAGCTTCCTCGACAGGACATCGGACTCGTAACTACCACCGTACATCGGGTAACCAAGGTGGCCAGAATCGTACTCGACTTGATTACCATAGCGATAGCTCGGATTGGCCGAACCTTGACTGGATATCGAAAGGTCTGACTGTGATAGACCGGTATTGGTGCTCCCAAACAGTCGTGTATTTTCGAAGCCTGTGAGAGAGAAAGAGACGGCAAAATAGAAAATAAATCCCAAAAACAAGATGCCGTGTTCATTACGAGAATGATCACCTGAAGATCTGTCGTCCGGTATTTCCTCCCTGTGCACCAGTGCGTGTTGATCGGCAACACCGGCGGCCATGTCATCGGACGATCCTTTGTTACCCTCCGTCTCTTTCTTATCATAATCCGGTTGTACTTCCACCACAAATGAACAACCACTGTCTTTGTATCTCGACGTCGGTTTGTTATCCTCCATTGTTACCTGGAAGCAAATACGAAAAAATCAATATCAGATATAAGTTGCAACGTTTTCTAAATTTTATCTTTCTCAATTTGAAATATTCGGAGTAATCTATAATTCTCTTCCTTTGCTGTATTACATTTGTTTTATGTTTTAACAAATGTTTTATGTATCTTTTTACTATCAAATTAAAATTCTGCTGAAATTTCGAAATTGAATAATAAATAAGATGTATATCACACAAAGGTGATAAGCACCAGTTAGTGTGTAATAAATATGCGATAAGTAACGTTCATTATAAGATAACAGTTAGAGTCTCTGCTAAAAATTAAGTCAAAGTATCCTAATTATGAAGAAGTAATCCGTAGTTCCTTTTTTTCGATATACTACATATTTTAACAAATATTTTATGTATCTTTATAAGCATCAGATTAAAATTCTGCTAAATTTCGAAATTGAATAAAAAATTAAAGATACATGTGCGCAAAAGTAATAAGCGCTAGTTAACGCTATTATCATACAATAAATTAGAAAGAAAATTAAAAAATCAGATACCCCGAATTTCTTTCCTAGAAAGCACGTCCAATTAAATTCAAAGTTTATTATTCCGTTCAAACGTTCCAATTCTCTCACGGGAACTCGTGCGTATCTACTCAATTTGTTATTTTTTTAATTCTGTTTTTCATCTCTTTTTAATATGGGCCCGAGTTACGGGCCCGAATCGGGCTCCACGCCTTTTCCTTGTTCGAAAGTTAGGGCATTTTATACAGGTACGTACGTGCGAGAGAGGAATGGATTGAATCGGAGCGCGAGTAGAGCATTTAGAGAGATCGGGATGGTAAAAATGAGGAAGCGCGCGAGACAGACGAGCGATAGAAAGAGAAAGAGGGAACGAGGAGGAAGGAGGAGGAAGAGGAGGAGGATGTGCCGTGAGAGAGATGTGTGTCAGAGAGAAAGAGGAAACGTAGGTGTCGGCGAAGCCGAGGTGGCTCGGCGGAAGATTTCGAGAATCTTCGACGCGAACGAGCCTCCGCGAATGAGACGGGGCCGTAAGTAGGACGATAGGTGGGGACGAAATTGCCCGGTAACCTCCGACCTTACCAGGGTCGGCCAAGTTCGATAATTACGAATCTACTCTCCAGCCTGAAAACGAGCCAGTCTCTGACCCGGTTACGGCGACTACGTCGACGAGTTTCGCTCCGCGCTTAGGGATAAAACGCGCGGTCGTCGGAGGGGAAGAAAGGGAGATTTATTCAATAATAACGTTTGCTTTGTTTACAACTTACGATAATCCTGTTTTGTTTTGGGAATTTCCTATGGCGAACGTACGTACCGCGCGCTCCTCCGTCTCCACGATAAGATGATTGTTCTTGAGGGTGAGGGTGATGATGTTCCCGTTTGCGTTCTTGCTGATATGATTGCCGGAAGTGCTGGTGGTGGTGGTGGTGGTGGTGGTGGTGGTGGTGTACTCCATCACGGCCGCCGCCGGGGCAACGTTTACGTCCTCCATCACCTCGGTCTCGCACATGTAACGGGGTACGTCTAGGCCATTCACCAACTGAAAACGCACGGAAACTTCATTCGCGCGGCTGAAAGAGCACGCGCTTGCGGAAATTCCAAAAGCGCGTTCTCACTCGTCACGTTTCTGCGGGCGTAGAGGTAAAATCTTGGAATATAAACCTCGCGCGCACCGAAACAGAGAAGAGAGAACTTCGTCGCTTCCTTCCGTCGATTATTATAGGATCGACGAGAGATCTCTATCTAAATTCCCGACATCCTTTTATCTATAAAGAGAGGGACGCCACGGACGTAATCGGATAATTTTTCTTTCCGACGTTACGCTCGCTCGCATATTTCGGGAACCGATGAAATTCCAAAATCCTCGCAGGACGCGAGGCGCGATTTTTCGGCGATCCTGCCCGGGAATGCCTTCGCGCAGGATACGGGAGATTTAGTTACAGTCGATGCGCGCGAGGCTGTCCCAATTT